CTAACAGTAGGGTAGGCGAAGCATTGAAAAATACACATGAAATCTACCCGAGTTTTTCAGCTTTCCGCAAGTCTGATTTGAGGATCTCCTGGCAGTCACAGATTTTACCAAAGTTCAGACACTTTAAACCTATGACAGGTGAACATGTCTGTGATGTCACACAAAACGTGTGTCTGTGCGACCCGTGTGATAGCACCGGTATACAGCACGTACCACAAAAGGGAAATTTAATTCTCTTCTATTTGTTCAGCGGAGTGCAGCCCTCCAATCAATGGCCATACCTTTAGCATTGGGCACTCTATATACATTGAAGGCAAGCACGCTACGGTACGGAGTTTCGTCAACATGAACAATTAAAAAAATGAAGATTCTAAAACGGACACTTTGAATTAAGTAAAATACATTGAATTAGTATCAGGAAAAAAAAGTTTGGTCAAACAGGATTAAGTTTTTTTATCTTATGCTAATTTATTTTATACATATTAGCAGTATACCTGTTTTGAAAAGACCATGCACGATAAGTTCAATGCTAAGATGTTAAGCTGACAAGGCGACTAAGAAATGGGTTATAGCTAATTTGTTTCCTTATCTGAAATAGGTAATGTTATTGTCCCCGGGTAGTTTGGAATATTATCAGGTTCACTGGGGCGTAACTCCACAGAAGTAGTTGGTCATGCTCAGAAGGAATTAAACTTCTTGCAGACTATTTATCTCCGATCTAAAGAATGTCATGCTTGATGTACTCTGATTACCCCCAAGTTAACAAAATGGATTCAACTTACATGTTAATTTTACCTTGATCTTGGCAAGTCTATTCATAGTAAGGTGATATTTCAGAGAAATCTTCCACTTATTTTTAATTGATTTTCCTGCATGTCAATGAACCATTTACTTGAAAGTTTTCATAAACAAGTAAATAATGACACATGTGGACTAATTCAACTTTTAATAGATTAATGTTAATTGACTTGTCTCTACTTATCAAGTTTAACTTTACCAACATTTTGACATATGTGAATGGATTGCATCATACAATATGTTTGCCTATATAGTCTGTAAACGGTCACACCCTCGGCAACTAAACTGGCTGACTAATTCAGTCCAGTTTTATCTATTCATAAATGAATAAAAAAAACCATTATATATATAAACTGTGAGAAACCTTTGGTTCAAATTAGTTAATTGAATTCAAAATATATAATATTTTTACTATAGAGACTTGAGTGTACAATGTGTATTATCCAGTAAACTGCTAAATCAACAGGCAGATCACACTTTTTAAATACCTCTTATTCTCCATATAAATAAAGACTTTTTGTTTGCAATTTGTTTGTTTACTGGGTTTGTCTTATAAGCAGCTAACTGGTCAACCTTTAATAAAACTCAAACAGTTGTCTGTTACTTTATAAGATGAAATTTCAACTTGATATTTTATTTACAGGTAAATGTAGATATATATACTGTATATATCTTGGTAATTATTAACTTGCTGTAAAGAAAAAAAATAAAATAATAGTTCTGTTGATATAATACATTTTCATAATTGTGATTTATTCTCACGCTTAAATTAGAAAATTTTCAAATATTGTTATTTTTTTCTGTGAATATTTGGAAATTGATTTATATCAGGTACCCAGATAAACATATATTCCCCATCTCCCCCTCTGAACAAGGCTAAGGCTATCTACAGCTGAGATACATGGAGGTGACAATACTTCAGACATGATAAAAATACCTGTCCTTTAAAAAAACTTGAACTCCTGAATGAGGATATTGTTTGTTAACGAGTCTAACACATTTAAACAGTACAGGTAGACAATGAGAACTTATCACTGTGTTGAGTTGTGTAGATGTGTATCTATATAAGCAGTCTGGGAGATCGACGTTATAACTGCATTGTAAAGTAGTACTTGTTTATTAAACTTCAAAATTGAAATAAGGTTTGGATTAATGCCTTTTGCACTGGCCAGATCCATTGTCCCATCACAGCACCATTTTATGTGCGTATTTGACAAGTTGTCTGGTTGCTTGTGTTGGTTAACTTAAAAAAATCTGGTTTAAGCATCAGTTTTATGTTAAGAAGGTGTTGCAATAAGACAAACTTGTCCAATACAAGGACTGGATATACACATATTACCTGAAACAAGCAACGGGAGCTACAGACAGCCCCATGTTTTAGACAAATTGTAAATGTTTGTACCACTAATTTGGTGATCTGTCCATATTTTAAAATTATTTGTCTTGTTGCATGCAGCTCCAATCATTTTTTACAGGTTATATCTATAACCAGTCCTTGTTGTGGACAAATTTATCTTACTGAAGCACCCATTTGGTGTTTAAGGTGACCAGTCAGTGTTTTCTACAAGTTTGTCTTGTATAGCACCAATTTATTGTTTATGGTGACCAGTCAGTGTTTTCTACAAGTTTGTCTTGTATAGCACCAATTTATTGTTTATGGTGACCAGGCAGTGTTTTGGACAAGTTTGTCTTGTATAGCACCAATTTATTGTTTATGGTGACCAGTCAGTGTTTTGGACAAGTTTGTCTTGTATAGCACCAATTTATTGTTTATGGTGACCAGTCAGTGTTTTGGACAAGTTTGTCTTGTATAGCACCAATTTATTGTTCATGGTGACCAGTCAGTGTTTTGGACAAGTTTGTCTTGTATAGCACCAATTTATTGTTTATGGTGACCAGTCAGTGTTTTGGACAAATTTGTCTTGTATAGCACCAATTGATTGTTTATGGTGACCAGGCAGTGTTTTCTACAAGTTTATTAGGTCACATGAGACATAGTCTTATTTAACCTAATGTGATCGCCTTGTGCCCATAATCGTCCATTGTGCATTGTAAACAATTGACATTTTCAACTTCTTAATAATCAAACGACCCAGGATGCTGATATTGGCCTTGATATACTTTCAAGATCACAGGGATCAAATGTGTTTCAAACTTTAAACAACTATTAGCATGTTAGGATGAAGGGCTACCAATTTTGTTAAAATGAATGACCTTGACCCATTTTCAATGTAACAGGGATTAAATGTGTTGATTTTTTTAAACAACTTCTTTTCATTAACCAAAAGGCCCAGGGTGCTGATATTGGGCTGTAGCATGCTTAGAGGAAAGGCAACCAAGTTTATGTAAATAAATGGCCTTGACCCACTTTCAAGGTCAAAGGGGCCAAATATGCTAAACTACAACAACAAACAGTGTTATCAGTTCCTTTTGAAAATCAAACTTTCAACTATGAAACAAAAACTTTGTAAGTATGCATATATCAGTTTTGTTCTATCTTCCCCAATGCTGGGACTGATGGACAGGTTATAAAACTGTCCAAAGATCTGAAGACCTTAGGTGATCATTAAGGCCTATGGGTCTCTTGTCTTATTTTAGCACCAGTTTGTTGTTCAAAGTGACCATGTGGTGTTTTAGACAAGGTTGCCTTCTTGTAGCATCAATTTGTTGTTTAGAAGATGACCTGAGTCTGTGTTTAGGACAAGTTTGTCTTGTTGTAACACAAATTTGCTGTTTAGAAGATGACCTGAATCAGTGTTTTGTACACGTTGGTCTTGTTGCAGCACCAATTTGTTGTCTACAAAGATGATTTGTTGTTGTAAACTACAGTAAATATTTGTTTGCAACATATCTACCATATACATCCTACTGTAGGTTCCAACAGTTACATATGGAACATCAAGACAAACATTCGTTATTTTACTAACCAGCATTATTCATGGGTGGGCTTATTACCAGGCATGGGGTTATTTCTGGATTACTATTAGTTTATCCTGGTTTGCTGATCATCTAGTATATCATATGCAGTGCATAGTGATTTGTCTCATTCATGTCTTTGTATGTCATAATGGCTGGATAATATGCTCAATCAATTAGGTTAATGTGTTTAACAAGAAAGCCATTAATCTGAGAGAAAAAGGTTAGATATATATAATTTGCTATGTCATGAACAAATACATCACAGTCTGTGTTCACTGAATGTGAACAGTAACATCTACATTTATTTAGTATGTATATATGTGAATTCAACCCATATTCTTCAGACTATGTACCTAGACAAATGTCCTTAGATGATTAGAATAAAGCAATGATCATCCTCAATGTTACCTGTATTTCCTGTTTATATTAACATATTACAAATGTGTATACTCCAGCCGCATGTAATATTTTAAAGAATGTACGGTGTGTGCATTAGTGTAATATTCAAATGTGAGAACGACATATCACTACAGGGTAGATTGAAATCTCGTCCCTTGTATGTACATTCTGTATATAACCATCAATCTTATTACACAACTCTCTGGTAATTTTCACTCTTACCTGCAAATTTATAAACTGTGACATGTTACGATTTCATGATACGGAGAGTCTTGCATATACTTCAGAACCTGAAACTGTTTCCAGTTTGGACAGTGATTGTGACAGTTTATCAGAATAGTGGGTATTTTTGCTTATATTTAATTTCAGTTATATGTATTTATTGTATACATGTACATCAGTATAAAATTAGTGATCACACTTATCTTCGTCAATTTGTATAACTTCAAACTCGGCAGCTTCAGATGAAGATCTGAGGTTTGTGGTTTGCTTCGTACCCAGGATGGCTAATATACTTTGAGATGAGAAACTGATCAGTCTTTTGCATGGCGCTTAAGCCCAATTGCTTTGGACAGCATGCAGAAGACCTCTCACATTGTGTTCAGTGAGGTGACAAATGGCTGCTGCAAGGAACTCATGCCTCCAAATGAATACTTTGAATAGGCTTGGATGACAAGATAAGCAAATGTTTCCAAGATGGTTAGAACATTAGACCTGTTAAATGGATGCTGAAGTTGATGGCTAAATAACTTACATTTGGTGGTGATATTTCTGATTGAATAAGATAAAAAAAAAACACTGTGATATCTCCTTTACCATACAAAATAAATATCTATATTTGTGTTTTGTTATGTTTCATGTCATTTTATATTCTATCTTTGCAGTGAAGAAGAAAAAGATGGAATTCTGAGTGTCTGGCAAGGTTACCAAGGAAATGTAGAATTGGTGTCCTTTCCAGTACTATCCAGGAAGCAGATCAAGAGAGTTGCATTAGGGGGAGACCACTCTGTATTTCTGACTTGTGATCAGGAAGTGTTCTCCTGTGGGAAGAACAACTATGGGCAGCTTGGTATCGGGGAGTTGGATACAGAGTATGCCTTTGATCCTGTGCTAGTAACAGCTCTGGATGGTGAGTCTAAAGTTCAAGAGGATTAGTCTAATCTAAAAGACTAACAAGCAGATTCTGTCTTTTCCAGAAAAACTGGTTGTTGATCCTAATCAGTGTCAAAAGCAATAGAACAACCAGATTTTTTTACCAGTCTGTAGTGTTACTGTATTTATTTGAAAAGAAACTGTGTGGGTAGGGGTGTTATTTGTGGGGAGGGGGTTATTTGTGGGGAACGGGTTATTTATAGATAGATACAGTAAATGTAATGGAGCTTATAAGTAGTGTATCGTTTTTCATTTGTCCGTCTTGATCCACTCATATTTGGATTAAATGTGTAAAAATCTATTCTTCTAAATTATGATAAAACAGGATTTATATTGAAGATTCATATAGTCCACTTGGAATCTACTGAAAAGCAAAGTTCATGTATTAAGCATCAGAATCCTTATTACAAAAAATAGTGGTTTGCTTTCAATGTGACACTGATTTCTAATTTCTTACTTGAACTTTGGTAATTTGTAGGTTGTGATGTGGTGGAGGTTGCATGCGGATCCAACCATTGTGCTGTTGTTACAAAGAATGGTCTTTGTCTTTGTTGGGGAGAATCAAAACATGGACAGTGTGGTCTTCAACAAGACAGAGTTATCTCCCCTCATCAGATTGTCATCCAACAGGTGTCAGGTAACATTTGTGAACATGGAGTTCAAGCTGAAGCTAATACAGTTCGACTTACAAGTGTGGCATGTGGTTCCACTCATACTCTGGGACTGTCAGTCAATTCAGAATTGTGGGTATGGGGAAGTGGGCCAGGGATAGGAATAGAGGGCACCACTGGTGCCTCTCCGCCAACTCAGATAGAGGCTATGTTGGGGAAAAAGGTCATCAGTATCTGTTGTGGTGACAGTCACTGTATAGTGTTGGCAGAGAAGGGTGTTACCACTGAAAGTGACAGAGAAAAACGACAAAGTACTTCTTCAAATGTTGAACTGAAGGCACATAAGTTTTATCCTTCAACTTGTGCAAAATGTCAGGCTGAGATCTATACCTATATGGACACCAGTGATACATGCATAATAAGTAATGAACACAGCTGTGAACATTCCCAGCCAATGCCAGTGGATTTAACAGGGGAAAGTACTACAAATAACCAATCAGCAGACAGGTTACATCAAAGCGTACCACATGCACCAACAGATGCTGAGGACCGAAAGGACCACGAGGAAGATGTCAACAAAAAAAGTGAAATTGAAAGTGCTGATTTGATTCCACAAAAGGCAGGAAAAGAAGATTCTTGCAAGGAACAAGAAAAAATGGATGAAAGTAAAGTGATTGAAAGTAAAGAACCCTCCACAGGTGATCCTGATATTGGTAGTGATGTTATTGTTCCAAGTGGTAAAGGGGAAGATACACAGCAGACAGGAAGTGGTCAACTGACGTGTGATCTGGAGGTCAAGAGTGACCAGGTTGCTAACAATGGCTCAAAACCAATAAGCAGTGATCTATTACATCAGGTTTCTAAAACTTCCAGTGTTGTTCCTGATGACGAAAAATCCACTGAAGAGAGCATTCAGGAAAAAGGATCATCCTTAACTGTTGAACAGATTGAGGACAAACAAAGCAGTACCACAGTTGTAGGTAGGTCCACAAGTTTTATGGATGGGAATGAGGCTCTTGAGTTCCTGTCAAAACAATACGAGGATAAGGACCTCGCAGAAATACGTCCTAAGACTGTTGAGCAGCGATCAACACTTGGTCATCTTTGGTCAGCTTTGCCGTCCAGTCCTAATAAGGTACTGATGCAGATGTCTGCAGTACAGCAACAGGTTAGTGACCTATATAGCCAGAAAGTTTAATTAGAAAAACAGATATTCTAATAACCTGTAAGAATTTCACAAATTAGTCATTATCATTTTTACAAAGGGGAACTAGAGATTCATTGGATGTAATGGAGTGATACTGATACCTTAGCAACCTTATAAATGTTTATTATATGCAATTATTTGATTTACCCTCTTCATTCACCATTAAAGCCTTGCTTTGTAGGATAAGTTCATCAATTTCCACTTCAGTTCTGTACCTTATTTCAATTTCCTTTAAGAAAACTCCCCCTTCCCCCTTTTATTAAATTAATTAATTATTAATTAATTATGATTTTATTTAATTAATTAATTATGTTTTACTTTTCAGGTGTCATCCATGACCAGCAAGGCCATTTCGTCTGTAACGGACAAACTGCCATTTACTTCCCTTCAATCCAATAAGGATCCAGTTACCTGGGACCTTGGAAATGTCCCAATGGAAGCTGAGGTAGAAAACCATGTGGAAGATGGACATGATATGTCCGAGTCCAACAGTTCCTTGGATGAGCAGAGTATGTCCACACCAAGTGGAGACGATGATCAGGTGTCTGAAAATGCCTCGCCCCAGATGGCAGAGTCAAGTTTTATAGAAAGGATTAATGAGCATACTCCTCTGGTTGATTCTAGTATTGAAGATTTACGAGATGGGGAGACAACTTCAGAAAGAAAGTCACTGTCTGTCCGAACTTTACAAGTCAAGGAGGAACAACTGAACAGGAGAGCATCTGTCCTCGGTATACCATAACGAGTTTAATTCATATTTATCAATTTTGAAAGACTTGTATACTTTAAAAATGTCTCTTGAAGCTTTCGCATTTGTAGAAAACGATAATATAAGTACTAAGATTTATATATTCTTTTGTTGCTATCTTCCATATCTAAAAATAGTTTCAATCTGAGGTGATAAAAAATCTCACTATATACTGAATTCATTTTAAAAGCGAATAAAATGTGTCACAAGTTACATATATTCTTTCACCTTGTCATACTCACTTAAATAAAATGTTTGCTTATAGATTTTCATGTAAAAAGTAAAAGTGTATGAAATCAAATTTTTTTCTTTGTTTGTTTTAAAAATTTTATTTAAATATTTTACTCAAAAATGGGAACTTGATATTGGGTGTTGCATGTTTTATGAATAACATATTGAATATTTCAGGTTCCAAGCCAGACCTTGTTGCGCCTACAAAAGACGTAATTCTGGATACAGAAGTTTGGTCCTGGGGACGGAACTTTAGGGGCCAGTTAGGGACAGGAGATTCTATAGACAGGTATTAATAACTACATGTGTTTCTTGAGAACATTGGGCAAGATTAAGTCATCTTCTTACAAGCTAATATTACTGATTAATGGATCAATGATAGTGATGGACAGATAGTCGAAAAACAATGTGAAATTAATTAAGGACATGAAACAACTTAATCAAGACATCACTATACTCTATCGGCTATTAATAGAACATTGTATGTACTCTAGGAGGTCATGTGACTCAGGGGTCATGTACCTTAATGGTAGAACTGTATTGTGCTTAGAATAGAAGTTCTTGTAACACAACCAGTAAAAGATTAGAGTGTGAAGTTTTGATAACTACATGGGAACCTTCATCAGACAAATGACTAGTGTGGAGCGTACAAGCACTGACGTATGTAGTGTATGAGATGGTGCAGAATCGACCAACTTTTATGGCTGTACTATAATCCTGTGTACACTTAAGTCGAAAATAGTGTGACAAGATGGTAAACAGATTATAGACCAAAAAGTACTCAAAAAAAATGTGTGCTGTCAAGCCCATCAACGGGTGAAACCATTCTACAGATACGAAATGAAATATGAACCTACTCTGAATGAGTTGTGAATGATCAAAGATACAGGATAGAAAATACTCTAGATCTCAAGGAATATATCAGAAATGTAGGGATCCTTCAGTTAAGTTGACTTTTAAGGCTAATTCACAACTTACAGGCTTAAAAAGCTTTTATCAGTAGTATTTCATTAATATAAAATACAAATACTAGTTTAGTATGTAACAGATTCAAAACTTCTAAATAAACAGCGATTTAAAAAATTCAGTGCAAGGAACTGAAACGTTTCTGCTATCAACTTATGTAACTGATTATATCATTGATTAGAAATGTATTATTTGTGTTCAGTTATTGATTATGAGACTGAAACTGATTCCTATCAATATACAATTTTATGTAACAGTAGGAACATGTGTCAGGTACTTGATGAGGTATATGTTTAAACTTGATTTATAGATATAATCATTTCTATAGTTAATGCTACAAAAACTGTCTTTACAACAGTAACAATGTGATATAGGTGAACATAAAAATTAGGTGGTCAGGTGTCGTAGTGGTAACACACTCAACTTTCACCAAGGTGTCAGGTGTGAACCACTAAACCCTAATTGTTTCTATCATATATTCTTTTCAAATTTCAGATTTTGATAGTTGATTGATTTAGATATTTAGGAAATGTGTCAGAAACAAATTTATTTTCGATAATCAGAAATATATTCTTTTTTTGACCAATAATGTGTTTGATACTTGGGAACTTGTAGAAGCAAGCCATGTTTGGTCAAGCTACTGAATGGGAAACAAGTTGTCAAGATTGTTGCTGGATCCCAGCATTCTTTAGCACTTACAGCAGATTCTCAGGCAAGTTTCCATCTTATAGAGACATTCTACAACTCTTGTGGTATGTATGTATATAACATTCAATGCCTGTTAGCTTTTCAAATTTAAACTTCATCAAGAAATTGTAACTGTTAGACATTGTGTATTTTTCCCATTGTGGTATTCTATAAATAATTTTAAAGGATTGCTCTTGTTGAATATAATTTGATTTAAAAGAATTGAAAAAATAAAGGGAAAAAAAAACAAAAAACAACTCATAGATATAAAAGTTCTGCTGTTTTACATCTGTTTATGATAGTTGATTGACGGGGTGCTTGTTACATTATAAGAATGCTTTGTCCACACATAGTTGACTTGTCAACAATCTGTTAATTGAAACACAAAAGTATCCACTCCATTAAAATCCCAGTAAGTAACGGATGTTTTATTTTGAATGTATTAAAGGAGGTATGCAATAGTTCCTCTAATCAAAGACCAGAAGAGTTTTTATTTAAGAATCTGATGCTGTATATCCATGGTTCTGTCCCTTGTCTGTCCGTCCGTCTTTCTGTCCTCATCACAGTAATGCAAGTTCAAGTAGACCAATCAAAACCATATACTGCTTCTTTGTCAGGAGTGTCTGTTAAGCATTGTATTGGGGGGTCAAATGTCAAGGTTTACTGCTAAATGCCTATAGAATATTGGTGTTGATCACATGCTCTGTACAACGATGAAATTCCTTAGTGGACCATTAAAACTCAGACTTCACACACTGCTTTCTTATTGATACTTCATGCTTGCAATTACTTTCGGGGTCAAAAGGTCAAACATCAAAATCATTTAAAAGTCATTGGATCTTTAGATAAAAATAGGTTCCTGCCTGATAAATTCAATTCTAGAGGAAGAAATAAACTCAAACAAAAATTCACACTGTTTTATTTTGTAGGTTTACAGTTGGGGATCCAATGTTTCTAAACAGCTTGGCCACAGTGAGGAAAGCTCAAAACCGACTAAACTCAAGGTACATTGTATATTGTATATTGGTGTTATCACAGGTGGGTTGTACAATGTCCGATCTTACTTTTAATTCATATCTTTTTTGTTTGATTTAAAGTTTTTTTTCTTTAGGTACTTGAACGTACATTTGAAATAGAATTCTAGAAATATTTCAGCTGCAATTTTTACAAATTTTCAGAATTATAGATTCTGTTCATACAACACATAAAGAATAAATTGTAAAAAATATTTAACATTTCATGTACAAGTGTCAAGGTTGATTTTCTGGGAGCAAATTTGTGTTTGTAATAAATTTTCTCTAATTATTAATCACACCAGTGTAAGAAATAAAAAAGTAGTGAACATACACATCTTCAAGTCTTCAAAAAAAAAAAAAAATTTCAAAAAACAGAGATATAACCCTTTAATGACTCTTTATGTTTTATGATTATTTTGGTCATTGTGTGTGATAGATAATGTCTGGCTGTCATATCTGGGACATAGCTGCTGGGGAGTGTTTCTCTGTATTTCTCATGGACAGGTCAGGATTCCAGCCAGAAGTCCACTATGTTGGAAAACACCCTTGGTATGTATTCTTCAATCTTCGGTGGTGCTGACCAATAGTAAAATGATAAATAAAAGCTTTAAACAGTTAACACTGATAGAAATGCAGCATCATAGTCAATCACACAATAAAACTTGTAATGTTTTTGGATATAATCATCTGAGTATGAAGATCTGTAGATAAGGTGGCTTGAAAGTGGGATAAAATCCAGCATAAATGAAAAAAGCAGACCAGTACATGTATATTCTTCACTACACACTGACTTATGGCTGTTTGTTCCTGACTTAACACAAAATAGTGATAAGGAAGTTGTTAAATCACATAAATTGTTGTAGAAAGTTTTGTAACATTTAATTCAATTATAAAATTCAACATTCTTCTTTACTTTATGATAAACTTTAAAAACAAATTTTTTGGGAATAATCACCCAGATACCTTTCGCATTTTTTGCGTATTTCTATTTTTATGATTTCATTTTCTCAGAAAGAAAGGCTCCTTAAGAAGTATTTGAATACTTCAGAATAGACATAGCTTACATATATACCAATGTAGATGCTAACTGGAGATCTTACAGACCAGTCATACTAACATAGATTATTTACATACTAGTATATATATATTATCAAATAGAAATATTCAGGATTAAGAAGGGTTCAGCAATATAAAGGTATGTTAGATGCATTAATTATCCATTAACAATAACAAGAATAAAACGTGCAACGTTTTTGTGATTCTGATTTTTTGCAATTTTGAAACAATCGCTAAATCCGCAAAAAATAGATTTGGATGAAATATTCCCAATATTCAATATTTTTATTCAGCTATGCTTTCTTTGTTACAGTCAGGATGTGTTTGTGCCAATTTACAAAACAGACAGGCTAGTATCACTCAGTTTTCTCAAACAGGTAAATAATGTACAGATGCAAAATGATAAAAATAGAAAAACAAATAAGTAAACACCATTTAAGTGTTCAATAACAGAATATTCCTCTTGATTATTAATTGAATGATAGGTATCGTATTAGTAAGAATTATTTTCATGTTATTAATTTTCATAAAATCATGTTTTCTAATTCTGAAGATTGAAAAGAAAATCTATTTTGGTTTGAAAAGAAAACATATCCAGTTTCATTTAACATGAAATGTAGACAACAAAACTGCAATTAAAATGGAAAAAAAAATTAAATTTGAACATTTTCCAATCTTTCAGCATATTTTAAAAAGCAGAATTTTGCATTTGGTTGATTTGTTTTCTTTGAAAGGCGGGTTGGATTCGTGCCCTATCTGCAGGGGGAGATAACTGTGCTTGTCTTTCCTGTTGGAGCTTTTCCGGACATATTGGTTCTGTGTTTGAACTTCTGTCACAAGAACGAAGATTTTTCCATCATCTGTCACGCATAAGAAAACTTGTAGTTAACATCCTTCAACGTCACAGTAAGTACAGAATTTGCCTTAAAGGTCACTTTCTGTAAGTCATTCCCATATGTTAAACACCTGTCTATAAAGTCTATATCTTTATAACAAGTACCTGTCTATAAAGACCAATTCTTTGTATCAGATACCTGTTTATAAAGGTCACCTCTATGAAACAAATACCTGGCTATTTAGACCACTTGTTTTGGTTCCAAATGCGATGCAATTTATACAAAGCCCACCTGCCTGTATAGGCCATTTTTATTGCTTCATTCAGTGATCTTTACAGATATGTTGCAGTCTAGCTGCTTGTTTGTGAAAAAATAGTATTTAACAATTAAAAAATTTCTGCCTTCAGAAAAATGAAAAAATTCAGTCATTTAATAAAACATACAGTCATATTGAAAAATTCATTATTTTTTTATCATCATGACTTCTAAATGATTTTTAATTATTCCAGCATTTTACACCACCTTGGATGTCTATCCATACAAGTCAACATTACAAAACCTGCTGTCATCATTCCTCAAACTACACCAACAGGTATTCAATACTGTCCTAAGTGTCGCAAATCATTTTCGTCTCAGTTTTGAAATTTCGACCTTGTTGTAAGATTTGTGTATTTGGTGTGTAGTATTGCTTATTTAGGTTGTAGTGTTCAGGTTTTTGTTTTGCAGATTGATAGATAAGATAGAGTTATTTGTGTGTATAAAGACATGTTTAGACAGAAGGCTTACCTCCCTTCTCTCTGTCGGCGTATAGATCAGACAATTACCTTGGGTATTACCTGGAATGACTGGAGGGAACTAAACTGGTTAGATGGTTTAGTAATGAGTATTGATAAGTAAATGAATATGTGAACTGATTTGGTACAAGTCAGGGAAGATGTATATTTCATAAGGGGGAGGGGGGAGGGTATTTTATGCATACAATGTCCATCTGAATGCATATTTTATCGGGATGGAAAAATAATTCTAAAAAAAAAAACAAAAACAAAAAATTTCCTGTTTTAGGTTGGACAGTGCTATGTGGAAATGAACCAGATGGTCAGAGATGGTGAAAATGTATTAAATTCATCATTTTTTCGTAACTTTGGAAACCTGGCAGATGATGTGAAACGTTACACAATTGCATTTGGTGACATGCTTGGAATTAGTGGGTTTGAATACTGTGGGAAAACAGGCAGGTAAGACATCCTCAGTCTTTCTATGCTGGCAATGAATTTTTTAGAATTTGAAATTTAATTTTATTTCTAGATTCAAAATCATCAATTAATTTTGATATCGAATATGTATCAACAAACTTGATTATATCAATGATATGTAATATATTCAGCTACAAATTGTACCATCATTTCACCCATATATACATTGGTGTTATGTATTACAATTTAAACTGCTTTTCTTGCCATCGTATGTTAAAGTAAAGCAAAGTTTGTCATTATGATAACTTCCTCCTGTCTCACTGAGTATGTTGTGTTACTGATATGTAAAAACCTTTTACAGTACGTTCTTCAAATCATTGCTGACATGCATTCTTCTACCACAATTTTAGCTCATCTGGCCCAAAAGGCCAATTTGATGACATATGCAGGCCCCTTGGGCCACTTTTTATTTTAGAGAATCACTGATTTATATTTATTTTCCTTCCACAGTGCTTTCTTTGAGACCATAGTTAAAGTGTTCACACTGATATTGGAGGAGAAAAAAGTTGAGAAAGCTCAGTTTGGTAGCTTATTCCGAAAGCTAATGGCTGCTCCTCTGCAACACATCAAAGAGTACAGTAGAATGGCTGACAAACTAGCAGGCAATTATCAAAGTGTAAGTGTTAAGGAGGTCCATACTTAATTCATTTGTCTTTACCTTCTTTTTCCAAAGAGCTGTAATACCATATACCCTTAAAATGGCTTATAATAAAGATATCCCTAGATTGATTATTGTCAAATTTATTAGCTTTTTAGGTCACCTGAGACAAAGTGTCACGGTGACCTATTGCGATCACTTTCATCAGGCATCGTGTGTCAGTAAATCAATTTAACATTTTCGACTTCTTCTCAAAAACTCTGATCCGATTTCAATGAAATTTTGCAGAAACCTTTCCTTGCCTTAGGTGAACAAACATTGTGAGTTATATAGTCCGCACCCCACAGGGGTCTGAGGGGCGAAGCCAAAAGGAGTTAAATTGACTCGGATTTAAAAAATCTTCTCAACACCCAGATATGGTAGAATTAAATGCTTTTCTGGGATGGAAGTATCTTAAGGTGCTTTACCAAAGCTGTGAATTTTATGGCCCCAGTGTCTCGCATTTCCCTTTGGGGAGAGGGTAAATGTTATTAAAGTGTATATTGGAAAACTAGATTTTTGAGCATAATTTGTATAATTTTCATTAGAAATATTTCAAACTTGGTTAGAATAATGAGTAGTATGATGGTTTGATGGTTTGCCCATATTGATCCTGGCTGACCCCAAACGGGCTGATGGGTGGGGCCAAAAGGGGTCAGATGGACTTAGATTTCAAAAATCGTCTTCTCAACACCCAGATATGATAGATTCAAAAGGTCTTCATGGATGGAAGCATCTTAAGGTGCTTTACAAAAACTGTGAATTTCATGGGGAGGAGGGTAAATTTTACTATAGTGTATAAAGGAAAACTAGTTTTTTTGAGCATAATTTGTTGGATTTCCATTGGAAATATTACACCAAATAAATGCCAGAAACCCAGTGAGGCATTAATTAACGTAAAATTCCAAGTAAGACCAGCTACAAACATCCCAGGTCCATCAACAAAATGAAAGAACATGGAGCCTTAGAAAGACCCTATGAACATCTTCAGAGAAGACGTTTTGCTGAAAGATGACTCATCCTCAGGCAGTACATTAGTCAAGAGCTACAGTATTATTGATTTACCAGAAGAACTTATAGATTTCAAGAATTTAGAATATAAATCTGAACTTAGTGTCACATTCTGCTAGGTGTTAAAAAGAACAAACTCATCTAAAATTATAAATTTTAATTGACATACAATTATGAACATTTAATTAACATTTACATAAGACATATCACTAAGGTATTTATTGTTATAACGTTTACAAAATCAGAGCCTATCTGCCCATACTTCTTGCCCAATTGTGAAATATGTCACAATATAATCTGAACCCTAAAAATAGCAAATCACATGACCAAACAGGTGAAACCAGTTGACAATAAAGTCTAGTATCAAACTTGTTGTGATTGGTTCTAACTATTTATGTATTAGAAAACTTTTATTTCATTTTCGAGTTTTTGTTTTAAAGTTAATGATGATGTGATCACATTATTATAGAAGATTTTATATTAACTTGCCTTGTTGGATTCATATTGTTTGGTTCTTAAACAACCTTGTTCTGTTCTTAATTTACTATAGATTGCCAGTTTTTGAATTTGCTTTGTTTGGTTATTATAATTTGTTCTATTTGATTTTAACTTGTTTTGACGAGTTCTGGACTTGCTTTGTTGGTTCCTTTCAGGGTTCAGAAGAGTTTGATTTACTAAACAAAGTCTCAGTGAGATGGAGCAGCCTGCAGCATTTTATTGCAGTGGAACAAACCATGGCTGATAACACTAGTATGTTCTGGGAAACGATCAACCAACAGAAACTTGTGGTAAATAGACACAATTCTAAAAGCATTGTGAGAAGACAGATCCCTTATGTCTTTAGCTACGTGTATTCAGAAATTTAAATTATTATTAAAATCACTAGACAGCTTGCAGAAGATGGGACTCCTGCCATCTTGTACACATTTGCTTCTGGTTTTTAACCTAAATGGAGATCAAAAAGACATACAGAATTTTAATATTTTGTTGTAACGTTGTGTTTCTTGTTTTCCTTTGCAAGAACATATTAAATATTTGAAACAGGAAATCAGTTTAAACTTATTTGGATTTGATTCCATTTATTTTCCTTGGGTAGTTTTAAAATATAGAGTACTGAAACATAAGTTTTGTTTTTTAACCAGGATGCCCTGAAGATCCCGAGTCGACGTGTGGTACGAGACAGTAAGACACACCCTCTATCTCTCCAAGGAGCTGGTCGTTTCTCAGCTAATTACTTTGTCCTCTTCAATGACTTGTTTGTCCATATCCAGGTGAGTATCTTTTTTTGCTGTTAATTGTAACCACCATGTTGGAGAAATTTGACCATAATTAGATCTTGTGTTTCCTTGTATATGGGAGTCTTGTTGAAATATTCAATAATTAATTCACACTCTGAAAATAATTATTGAATGTTATATCTTGAAAAATGTAGCTTTAAATCCTATATTTGATAAAATATTTGTTTAAATAAAAGAAAGTTACCAGGTACATCTGATATGAACACAAATCTTCCCTGTTGAGAGAATCCATTGTTCAGTTTAAAAAAGACTTTACCATTTAGTGTGTCTTACATCTTTTAGTACTCAAGCTTTCAAGTGTACAAGTTAGAGACACTGTGGGTTGAAGCTCCCTCTAGTGACGGTGACAAAAAACAGTAAGTACACTATCTCCTTCTAAATCTAATGAACTATGAATTTGATCTTCATCCTGTTAAATGGCACTGCCATTTTTGCATAAACATTTTTGACAGCAAACACAGTTGTTTACATAAATTTTGATATCGTGAAATATCAAAGTACTATATAAGTTTAATTCACACAGAAAAGTCTTCAATAGGAAATATTGTTATGTGTATAGTCAATATGGTTACTACTCCAAGACCAATAAGTTTAAACTTAAATTTAAAAAAAGGCAAAAATATTAAAAAGAAATAAAAAATTAAAGGAAGGAGCACTGTCTTTTGATAATACTTTCTATGCTTGGTAAGGAATTGTATATATGTTAAGTGTTCTTTTCTTCTATCAAATTGAATATATATTTATGGCATCTATAGTTGATATGAATGACACAACTTTTCACAATAACATAATTGATAACGTATACAGTGTTCTTCATTAGAAGATATGATTTATCAGTTACAAGTATGTGGTCTATCATGGTGATGATTCAATGTTGTCTCTTTATTTCTTTTCTACAGACATCTGATAACCATAACAGCTCCAGAAGACAAATTGTTCCTTCTAGCATCATCAACAGCCATCAAGGTAATTTATGTGCTTCCTGTAAAAGATCATCGTTCTACCATAGAAAATACATCCACATTATTGTGAAAATGACATTTTGTCATTGAAAGGATATTCACATTATTGTGAATGGCTGTTTTATCTTTTAAAATACATTCTCATTATAATTATTGTGAAAATGGCTGCTTCATCATTGAAAATATATCCAATATTCCTAGGAAAAAATACTAAATTAATGTTGCCACATTTCTGTGGAAATTGTTGTGTTGTTATAGAAAAAATCATCACATTGCTGTAAAAGGTTTCCCTATGAAAAATTGCAATGAAATAGATTTAAAGATATACACATTCCTGTTACAAAAATCTGTTAAACTATAGAAAATACATAAAATTATGTCACCAAAGAATATAATTACTATTCCTGTAAAGTTTGCCTTCACATATAGAAAATTCACTGTAGGTCACCTGACACAGGATATCAGTGTGACATGAGGTTATGATTTATCTGTTGTGTTCCTCCCATTTCATTATCATTATAGGCTGTCTAACTCCTTCAAAAGGACAAAATGTGTTTTCCTGACCTGATGTGGCAACAATCAACTTGTTAACTAGGAATAGACCCCATGGGAGCTAGGAATAAACTGACCCCATTGGGGCTAGGAATAAACTGACTCCATGGGAGCTAGGAATAAACCATCCCCATTGGAGCTAGGAATAAACTGACCCCATGGGAGCTAGGAATAAACTGACTCCATTGGAGCTAGGAATAAACTGACCCCATTGGGGCTAGGAATAAACTGACTCCATGGGAGCTAGGAATAAACTGACCCCATTGGGGCTAGGAATAAACTGACTCCATGGGAACTGGGAATAAACTGACCCCATTGGGGCTAGGAATAAACTGACCCCATGGGAGCTAGGAATAAACTGACTCCATGGTAGCTAGGAATAAACAGACCCCATTGGGGCTAGGAATAAACTGACTCCATGGGAGCTAGGAATAAACTGACTCCATGGGAGCTGGGAGCTAGGAATAAACTGACCCCATTGGAGCTAGGAGGTGGGGAGGGGCCTCAGAAATGTGGTGATGTGTGCAAAGCCTTTAATAGATATCTCTTACCTTTGGAATTGTAGTTTGCTCAAATATGGTTAAAATGACCCAACCATCATCCTGACAAATTGAGGATTAAAACCTGTACCACAGATTAATGATACCTATTACTGCAATCCTAACAGCACAATGTCCTCAAGACATTTCTGACAAATAAAGATGAAACATTTAATTAAAATATAACTCTTCTGTTTGTAGACAGAGTGGATTATGGCACTGAACTCAACTATCAATAAAGTGATCACAAGTCAGAAGTCAGTAACGAGGCGTGGCAGTATGGAACGCATGGCGCCTCCTAGTGTCAGACAGGCAACACACACATTTGCTAAACACAGTATTTACAAAGATGCTTGTTACACAGGGACTTTTCTCAATGGCCTCGTTCACGGACAGTAAGTGAGAAAAAATTACAATAACTGTTATGTATTATGTACTCATTACAAGATATATCACCTTCTTTGAGCTTTTATTTTCTTTTTCATTTTATGAAAGTTTTTGTTTACATAAGTATAAGAAATAAACATTTATATAGACATAATAAATCTCCCTCTCGTCTTACTCTCCTATTAGCTTTTGTGGACAGGAATATTTGTATCAGCTTTTTGTTCATCTGTCTGCCTGCTCGACCTTGTCCATCTCAAAATGACCCAGCAGGCTTCACAAATATAGGATATATGTGTGACATTTCGAGGACTTCACTGTCACCTTCATCAGACTAAATCAGTTTTGTTTTGTCCACAGAAGGTGACAGTGTAAATGTTTCATAATTATGTAGGTCTTTCTAAGTCCATAGTTGTGCCTGTTCAATTTTGGTAACTTTTTAGAAAATAAAAATGGCCGACAAGGTGACAATTATTTTTATTTTGACAATGAAAGATTCTTATTGTTATTTTTTGAGAATGGAAGTACTGGATGGATTTTTCTCACATTTCATTTGTAAGTTACCTTTTGTCACTTGTTGTACTTGTTTGGTTTCGCGGCTGATCAGAAAAATGTTGAACAAGTGGCCATCTTGAATTTTGATTATGAATGTTTGTTATCATTATTTCTTCAGATAGACTTAATGGATGTTTCTAAAATTTCATATGCTGATTCCATTTAGTCCCTTGTTGTGCCATTTTGAATTTGGAAGAATTTGGAAAAACAAAATGATGACAGGCAGCCATTTTGGATTTGACAATTAAAAGATTATTATCACTATTTCTTAGAGGAGTTTTAAAAAAATCATGTAATTAACTGGAAGAAGGAAGGGAGAGAAAAGAAGGAAAAAGGTTCAGTTTAAAGAACAAATAAAGATCAAATGATGATGGGATCTCTTGTCTTACTGGTTGTGGTATATGACATTCTATTCGATATCAAATGCAATTTACCAATCGGATAAAAATGTTCCAAAATAATACCACTTTGATTTGTTTCAAGATTTCTGTCCTACAATTTTGCTAAGGCATATGGAAAGAATTTTCTGGCAATATTTGACTGATTTCAGTGGTGAGATGAAGTGGAGCGATGGAAGGAAATACACAGGCAGCTTTAAGGAAGGAAAACAGCATGGGTAAGATTGTTGTACATTTAACTGATTTCAAATGGCATTCATGGGCATATGGATGCCAACAGCATGAGAGCAAATTTAACAAAGTCTATCAGTGCTTCATGTTGAATTTGTCCATACAATCTTGGCATTCATGTGCCCATGAATGGCAATTGAAAACCGTTCAATGGTAATATTGATCATTTTCAACTTTTGCCTTATTATAACACAAGAAAACCTCAATCAGTTTATAGGGCTTGCAGTATTCCTATGATGTTGAGATGGTAATACATCATTTGCCTTGTGTAACTAGGCTACATCAAGGTAATACCATACAATGCTACATTAACAGATATTACCTAACAGGCATCATTCTCTATGTTGTAAGGATAGAAAAAAAATGTTACCCTCTCTGCTGATTTGTGCAAAGTTTCAGATCGACTTTAGAGCTTTTTGAAATAGGATTGAATATTGATATATAAATATTCTTAACATCTTAGCCAGGTAGCACTTGAAATTTCAGATTGAGACCCTTTTGAAATATGATTGATCATCAATCTGCCCTATTCTAGTTTGATTTCACCTATCTTTACTCCCTTCAGTAGAGTTGATCTTGGCCTTCTGTTAGCCTTTCACTTAGGCAACAAGGTTTGATTCCCCAGTCATATCTAGAAAGATCACATCCTTAATCACATGTACTTTCTGGGGTACTCTGGGTTCCTCTCACAGTTGAACAACAATTCCCCCACTCCCTCCACACATACATCATTCAGACCAGCAAGTATTGTAAATATAATTTGATAGAATATGTTTTCCAATTGTTGTTGACAATTATGTTCTTTCAAGAGAAATTGATACAGAAGTACAGTGTATGCAAGATCAAAGACAGAACAGTTCGAATGAAAAAAGGGGATAATGTTTATCTTTAAAATCTTTGAAACAACCTGGGTATTGTAGAATTAATGATGAAAAATCTGGTTTTTCACGATATTGTCACTACTTGTAAATCTGTAATGTAAACAACAATAAAATGCTGCTTTTTTTCAGCCATGGACGTTTACTGATTCTCCAGGATGATGGCAATGAACGTTGTCAAGAAGGGTACTGGAGAGACGGACGACTGCATGGCATCGGGAAAGTCAAGTAAGGAACATTTATATTAGGAAATATTTTACTTTTAAGATTGATTGATGTATGTATGAAAATATAAGTAAGTTAAGCGTAGTTCTAGTAAAAGTTGTTTTAAAAGTTTTGATGTGTTAGATAATAATGGAGATATTATCCTGTAGATATTCCAATGGAGATGTGTACGAGGGGTACTTTAAGGAAGGCATGAGACAAGGACATGGAACATATCGTCATGGAGGTCACAACAGTAATTCTGCCAGTATATATATCGGGGAATGGAATGTGGACCAGAAACAAGGATATGGAGTCATTGATGATGTACTCAAAGGTCAGTAAGACAATGGTCAAAGTCAAAATTATGTTGAAATCTATTGTTTAATTAAAAGTGTTATTCTAATACTTGTAGCAGAAAAAATAAGGAAATCACAAGCTATTTCAATCAGTGAGAACTGCTTAATACTGTGACTTAATTTGATACTATTAAATGGAACATGATATCTTGTCTGTTGGTTTCATTGTTGCATACTTTTTCTCATTTGAGAATGTGAAATTACTTACTTGGATTGATCAAGGTCTACATGGTGGGTGTTGCTGATGAATCAGAAGATGCTTACTCTTCTGGAACGCCTGGTCTTATTATCCATGAACTTCAGGAGTCTCATCTACCTTTTTTTCATGTTTTGCCTTAGTTTTTTCATGGAAGTTTTGTTTGGATTATGATTATGTTGCCATGTTGGTATTTCTTGATGTTTTTTGCATTATCTGGTATTATTATATTGACTTTACTGTGTAATAGTGCCATGGCTGAAATTTAGTACTAATTGTCATTATTTTATTCAGGAGAGAAGTACATGGGAATGTGGAATGATGGCAATCGTCATGGAAACGGAATTGTTGTTACTCTGGATGGCATGTACTTTGAAGGAAACTTCACTGCTGGAAAAATGACTGTAAGACCACAAATTAGCAAAGACATTTATGTATTACTACAACTATATTAAGTGACTTTTTAACACACTTTGGTCACAATATAAAACATGGATAACATGCAATGTTTTCAATGTTTACAGACTAGATTATGTGTTTGTGCGAACTTTACATGAGGAAGTTCAGACAGACAAACCTTTGTGCTGTTACTTTCATGCATCTTTAATTATGTATACAAGTTGTGTTACTTCAGTTTGAAAGTTTGAAACAACATGTCTAAACATTCTGGAGAACAAGGACTTGATGTTTCTCTCTATACTGTTTACAGGGATTTGGACTGATGCTGACAGATGACAACAGTTGTTATGAAGGAGAGTTCTCTGGTATCACACAGTTACAGGGAAAGGTAGTAAAATTCATATATGTATTGTAATCTACAATCACTTTTCTTTATGTCTCCATCAGTTCATCTGTTGGTTACTCACTCTGTGTAAAAAAGTAGTAATGTGGAAACAATATTCTTTGTGAACTCTGAACTGAACAATTCAGATATAGTTCATATCCATCTGTTACAAGGAGACCCCGCCTCAAAGTGACCCTTGTTGTTGGTGGGGGTGAGAATGTGTGGAAAAGTTGATATATTATCATTATCACCTCAGTAAAGTAAGTTCACGTTGACACTGTAATGTTTTACACCTGATCAGATTTTGTCTTCTATTAAGGTTAAGGGTCAAAAGTCACATCTGGCCACTTTACAAATTTTGTTTAGGAGATGTCTCATCTTACCAATAATTTACGATTACGGTACATTTAGACTTTGTGGTTCAAAACTCTAGTGAATTTAACAATGTTGTTCAACCATGGTTAGCGAGTCGCTAAGATTAAACAAAGTTGTTAACTGTTGTTGAAAAAGATGAGCATTTAATGACTTGCTAATTACCCAACAGATTCTTGTTAAACTAATCATTCATGTACCCATGGTACAGTATTTAACGAGGTATCAATTATGGCAGCCTTGGTGCTGGTTTTTGTGCGTCCTCAGAGGAAAGAAAAGTTTTCCGTCATCAGTCAATTCGTAATGGTGCATTTACAGACCATGACCAGAGTTACAGCTTTGGACAATATACAATTGTTTTTTCTCTCACATCTATTGATCAGCAGGTGCGCTGTATCCTTATGTTTTCACTGTTCACTGATCAAGGTCACTCTTGACCTCAGTGGAAAAATGATTATTGGTAACTGTACAAGTTATAAAGACAGTTTATAAAGGAGTTTAGGGGGATAGGGGTGTATATACCTGAGCCCCTCCAAACAGCCCCGCCCACTTTTGATGCTGATATTTCTTACTTTTATTGTAATATATTCAGGTCTGTATTATAATTATTACTGGTTCAATGCTATTGTTTGTACTAATTTATGTTCCTTCAGAATGATATATATATGGTGATGGGATAACAGATTTTCAAAAAACAATGATACTATAAATTGGGAATGGTAATTTTTCATGTGCTTTAATTTGCAAATTTTCTGTTTCTGTTTAAATGAATCAAAAATGCAGCAAAAGCACTCCACAGATCATAAAAAAATTGTATGTGTTTTGTCTGATTACCATAGGGGGTGCTGACATTACCGACGGGTGACAAGATTGACGGCACATTTAACGGGAGCTGGAATGAAGGACTTAAGATAAACGGCACCTTCCATAAGACACTGACAATTGAGGAACGCCGTTCCAACCATCCCATTGGTCTCAACTCCAGGTAACATTAATTTATTGATGTAGAAGACGGACCGAGGTTAAATCTGAAGCAAATGTTTTAGCAAGATATTTTTTTCTTGTCTTCATACAAAGTGTTCAGTGTGTTTTGTTTGATTTTTTCGGCATCTTCATCTTATCTAGAGATTTCTTTCTCTTGAAAACTTGGAGCATGTATGCATGTCTAATACAAACCATTTCCGATTTGTATTATCTTTTTTATATAATAAATGATTGTAATTTGGAGACATGTGTATTGTTCTTCCCTGCAGTAATCTTGTTTGTATTGTTCTTAAATTGTACACTGTATTTGCAGTCATTTCACAAAGATTTGTTTTCTCCAACACAAGCATTTGATTAATATATCTTTTGTACATGTAGCTATTTCACAAAGCTGAGTGTTCCTCATGACAAATCCTAGTCTAATATTTTCTTTTTGTCCTCGTAGCTCTTTCACAAAGCTGTGTGTTCCTCCAGACAAACGCTGGTCTGATATGTTCTTCCACTGTTCTTCCATCCTTGGGTTCAAAGGGCGTGGCAAACCTGACACTGCGAAGGCCTGGGAGGCAGTGGCTGTCATGGTAACCAAGGGCCGAGAGTCTTTGCGCGAGGCAAAACAAAGGTTAGTATATATCATATATTTTGGACCTTGTAACATTGTTCAGAACCTTTCATTAGATGTGGTTTATTACTAAGGTGATCTTTAGTCAAAGTTTTATGTCAAAGGTCAAATTTAACAATTTTTGAAAATTCACCTAACAGTGATACTTACTACATTTCTTAAAAACATTTTCAAGTTTTAAGATGACTGATGTTTGTCATCAATTCATGAAAATAAAAAAAAGATAGTGGATTGAGGAACTTTCTGTAAAGCAAAAAAAAAAAGACAGAGAAAAACAGAAATCAGTCAAATTAAAACAAATGTGATGCAGGGGAATGCTTTGGTGAGATGACTAAACAGTACGTATACTGGATATGATATAGCCGTCAATTTTATGGTTTAGGGGAACACTTCGTCGAGGAACTAAGATGGAGCAGCTAGAGGACCTAGAGAAAATTCCCCCTTTCAACACTGGCAAGATGACTATAGAAATATACTCCCAGATCAAGATCTACCTCCAAAAGGTATAACTAATTATCAACCTTGTGATAATGAAGGTCAATATTGTACAGGTTTTTTTCTGCAACTTTAATGTGTAGCCTGGGCTACTGATGCCTGATTCATCAGCACAAAACTCTCATTTTATTACATTTTTGCCTTTGAAATATAGGAACTTATCAATTTGATAAAAAGTGTTTTCATCGCTGTAGTGATAATATTATATTTTCCATTGATGATATACAGTTAAATTTCGTTATTTCAAAGTCTACAGGACCGCTGCAAACTTCAAGGTATCCAAATATTTAATTTAAAGAAATTTAATGTATGATATAAAATTTGGCCAGGACAGACAAAATACTTTGAATTAAACAGGGTCATTGTGTTATAAGATTTTGAGATAATGAGGCTGGACTGTAACTCTCATAGTTCTGACAGACTAGAGCGGTATTTTCTAGTCACTGCATTGAATTACACTGATTTTCCTGGTCCGTCGCTAGTGCAGCTAAGGCTGAATAAGGTGGTTTTCAAACAGAGAATTCTCTTGTACTATTTCAGGTTTTCTCATATTTGGTACAATGTATACAAATCAGTTTTGTAAGTCATTCTTTGAAGATAACACAAAGAATGGTAGAACACAACAAAAAGTCTTTGACAACAAATACTTTGACTTTTTTTAACAATACTTCATTTTATGTTTGGACTGGCTTTTATTTGTTTTTCCTTTAAAAGAGAAACCAAAAAAAGTGTTTTTGGTTTCTTGTTAAATAACATATATTTCACACTTCAAACTGACTATATCTGTATTTTTCACTCGTGTTTTGCTTTTATATATATATATATACATATTCTGTCATACACCTGAAATATAGTCAGTATTAAATTGGAAATCATTAAATATCTCCTCTATACTGAACAGAAAGTAGGTAAAATTAACCCTTCTGTATTGGTCTATATACATGACATCAAAGTATTGTATACACAATAGCATCATTCAGTATGAATTTGTCTATATACATGACATCAAAGTATTGTATACACAATAGCATCATTCAATTTGAATTTGTCTATATACATGACATCAAAGTATTGTATACACAATAGCATCATTCAGTATGAATTTGTCTATATACATGACATCAAAGTATTGTATACACAATAGCATCATTCAATTTGAATTTGTCTATATACATGACATCAAAGTATTGTATACACAATAGCATCATTCAATTTGAATTTGTCTATATACATGACATCAAAGTATTGTATACACAATAGCATCATTCAATTTGAATTTGTCTATATACATGACATCAAAGTATTGTATACACAATAGCATCATTCAGTATGAATTTGTCTATATACATGACATCAAAGTATTGTATACACAATAGCATCATTCAGTATGAATTTGTCTATATACATGACATCAAAGTATTGTATACACAATAGCATCATTCAGTATGAATTTGTCTATATACATGACATCAAAGTATTGTATACACAATAGCATCATTCAGTATGAATTTGTCTATAGGTGCATTATTTATCAAACAATGAATTCAACTTACATCATACAGCTGTTTCATTATTTCTTTGTCTCAGTGATTCAAAACAATTGATATATACCAGGTAGATACTTTCAATATTATGATAATCTGTTTATTTACTTAAATGTTAAAATACAGACTGTACATGAATACTGTATTCTGTGTTCAGTGATAGTAAAATCATTTTCTTTGCTGGGGTGTCCATACATGTAGATCCTTATTTGAAAGTCATTAACTCTCAATCTTTTTGTTTATTTTTTTTAGACCTTCAACACTCACTTCATTACATGTATTGGGGTAGAATTTCAACACATACTTCCAACCTCAATCTTCCATCCCGAATAAAGTAGGCAATCAGAATAAACCTCTATTACAGTAGTAACCCGTTTCTTCTTCATTGTGCTATTGCTGTATCAAACATCGGATGTAAAATTTAAATCCAGTTACATTTTGTACTGTTTAGGCCTTTGATACCAACTTTCATCCACTGGGACAACTGATGGAGGGACTTGTGGACGTGTTCCGGGCCGCTTACATTGGAGTTGGAGCACATCCTAGACTTCTTACTCACGCTGTTCAGGAAGTTAAATCATTCATCAAAAGATTGTTTAAGATAGTACGGTAGGTATATTCTCTTTTCCAGTTGATGGCAATCATTTAAGGCATTAAATATAACCTGCCTCACTTTGAGCTTCTAACAGTGCATCCAAGACAAAATTAGGACACACCAGTTAAACATTTTTATAAAACATGAAATTTTAGTGGATATTATGTTTTAAGAATTGATGAAAACTTTAAATTTGTCTATAAATTTTGTACAAACCTTCAGTGAACAAAATAATTAAACACATTAAACATGTTTTTTTTTTTACTCAAAATGACCTAATTTTTTTGGGAGTTTTTTGTTTAGTTTTGTACTTTGTCATTTTAAAAAAGTCACATTTGTAAGACAAATGATTACACACAGATCTCAAAATCTACGATTATCTTAAACCAAAATGTTACCTTTTGTGATACAGAATCTTGTTTCCTGACCTACCTGTCAATGCAGGACCATTACAGATTGTGTCTGAAGATGTCCTAAATAGAAAAAAGGATTCTCCACGAAGTGACACAGAGTCTATTGATAGTGGTCTACTGGAAGTTGATGAGAAAATGTAGGTTTTCACAATACCTGGAGCATCCATTGCAATTCAAAATGAGAAATTTATTACAAAGAAATGTATGTTACATAAGAAACGATTTTCTGTTTCAAAATTTTGTAGATATATGGAGCAAAGTATCAAGTATTCATAGAACGAAAAAATCAATACCAACCTGATTTTAAATTTTAATTTTTTAGAAAAAGTTTTATTTTAATTTTTTTTATTGACAATGAGATTTTTTTTACAGAGAAATTGTGACAGCAGGAAGTCTATTACAACCTCTTCTCCTTCCAAAGATTTATCCCCCCTTATTTGACTTGTATGCTCTGTACAATGACAAAGAGGATGAGAGATATTGGGAGAGAGTACAGAAACTCAACAAACAAGGAGACATGGCCCTGATGGCATACCTTGGTATAGATCAGTAAGTAAGGACTGGCTCATGATTAAATGTAAACAGTGTTGCTAACTCACCTTATTTTGTCAGATCAGCCTGATTTGGACATATCATGACCAACTTCAGTCAGGTAAAATGCTAAAACATCTTATATTTTCTTTCATTGAACAACATTTAAAAATTTCAAAATCAATTTTTGGATACAATTTAGTCAAAATTATGTCCAAACATAACACAGAACATCTTCTAAATACATGCAGATACAATAAGTATACAATGATATTGGTTAGAAGGATATTTTCTTCGATGGCCCAGTGAAGGATCCTGTCACACATGATTTTGAAGGACTGAGACCAGAAGTTTGATGCCAAGCAGTTGGTGATGCAGTGAAATTGATATCTTTCCTGAAATTTTCAAAGCTAAATTGCTATGAATGAAATATGTTTAAACAAAAAGAATTGATATATCATACTTACGAACTTACATATATTTCTACAGGTACTAGCCAAAGAAAAAGGGGAGACAATTAGTGAAAATAAGGATAAGAACCAAACATTAATAACATAACATACCAGTACCAGAAAGGACCTTGGGTATAGAGTTAAACACTACCTCTAGTGATTGGGATATTTTTGATGTTTAGCTGTTTATGTTATAACAGAGAATATCTAATGGTTTGCAAATTGATATCAAATACGTTTCATGAGAATGACAAAATATCTTTAATTTTCATGAGTGTGAAGCACAAGTGAAAATAGAATCAATGACAATACTTCAGGTGTGTTCATTTTTCAGAATTTTCCAAAATCAGGTCACCATTATTATTTATAGAAATTTGTCAAGCATCTTCTACAGTAACGGAAATTTCCAAATCTTGTTTTAATTAGAATTGTCAATATGAATTAGAACTTGATCATCATTTTTAAAGATACCAAAGATGACGGTGACAAACTGGCTCTCAGTATTAATTCTTTTATCCTGACAGGCGATTCTGGTTGATTGAAGAGACCCTGTTTCAGGACAAACGAAAGGTAATCAGCAGTGTGCTTGTATTTGCTTCTTATGTGAGAGGACAAGTTACAATCTATTCTATAGGTGCAGTGCATGTTATAAATATTTGTGAATTTGTCTTCCCATTTTTACTTGTGAATTGTTTTGTGTAAGTTGTATGTTAATTTGTCTAAAATGGTAGTCAAGTCACAATAAAGAATTAAGTTTTGACTAAACAGGTGCAAAGTAAGAAAATCAATGACAAATCTAGAATGGAGTAGATTACAGGTATTAATTCAGGTGTTAAATCTGCTGTAAATACAGTGTAATGACTGCTACTTATGTGTACATTACAGAGATTGTCAAGTCTGCGTGATCACTGCTACCTCTCCTCTGTGGATACCTTACAGCAGATCAGGTATAACTTTACCAAATCATGGTACTAGTGTGTCCCAATACAGCAGATCAGGTATAACTTTACCAAATCATGGTACTAGTGTGTCCCAATACAGCAGATCAGGCATAGCTTAACTTAATCATGGTACTAGTGTGTCCCAATACAGCAGATCAGGTATAGCTTAACCAAATCATGGTACTAGTGTGTCCCAATACAGCAGATCAGGTATAACGTGATCAAATCATGGTACTAGTGTGTCCCAATACAGCAGATCAGGTATAGCTTAACCAAATCATGGTACTAGTGTGTCCCAATACAGCAGATCAGGTATAACTTAACCAAATCATGGTACTAGTGTGTCCCAGTATAACAGATCAAGTATAGTTTAACTAAATTCTGGTACTGATATGTCCCCTTAAAGCAGATCAAGTTAAAGTCAACTTCATTTTTATGTAAATATATCTCTTTATAGCAATTAAGTCAGGTGTAACAAATGTAACTGATTAAAATCTTATTTCTAGTATGTCCCCTTTTTATTGATCAGTTATAAATCAGTTAAATCTCGTCTTTAGTGTGTCCCATTACTGCAGATCTGGTGCAAGTATTAGTTTGTCCCCTTAAGTCTGATCTGGTGTAACTGAACAAAGGTGTGACTGATAGTTATCAGACTAGTGTGCTCTGTTACAGCAGGCATATCTTGGAACAGTCACTGTGTGCTCCATACCAAAGTCTGTTCATTTAATTTCACCTTAGACTTTTCAGAATTTGGATTTGATCTTAAATATTTTTGGTCGAATTGTCAGATGTCCTTTCATAGATTTTATATGATACTTTATAATTGGCCATTTCTAAAACTATCACCCAGGTCAAGACTGTAGAAGATTGGTCAATAAATGCACTATAAATAAATATAGTATAAGACAAAAACGGTATTAGATAAAAACAGTAAGATAAAAAAGATATAAGATAAAAAATGGTAAGATAAAAACGGTAGAAGATAAAAAATGGTAAGGTAAAAAGTATAAGATAGAAATGTTAAGATAAAAACAGTAAGATAAAAAGGTTATGAGATAAAACCGGTATAATATAAAAATGGTGTAAGATAAAAATGCTATTTATATATGATGAAAATGGTAAGATAAAAATGATATAAGATAAAAACTGTATATGATTGAGGGCTGCCTGATGATATGAGGATTGCATTGGTAAATTTTGATGTCTTTGATGTTCCCGATACAAGCTATATTTGATTAACAATAATGTATTTAGTTGGGATAGTGTATAATGTTTCGTAATTTTTGTTTCAGCACGGCATTCAGCCCCAAGGAAAAATTAGAGGTTATACAACAGACGTTCCTGGAAATAACTAAGGCAAGTTTTGTAAATCCTAATATACATCTGTAAACCTCATTAGATGTAATCAGATTTTAGCACGTTAGTACTTCGGTGTAAATGAGTGCAATATTGAATTTGCCCATCAACAATAATTATTATGTAAGCATCATATAAAAAACTGCAATTAGCACAATTGTGTTTTAATACAGTACTTTATGGTTGAAAAGTTCTCAAATAAGATTATCACTAATATATATAGAGAAATGTTTCCTCTTAACAAATAAAACACTAGCAGGATTATCATTACAAAATGATCAGACATCATAGATATAGCACCTGTACATGATTGTCTGTTTTTTATACTGTTAATCAAAAGTTACAGATCAGTCAGATTTAAAGTGAAGACTTGTTTACATGACCAAGAACTCTTACAGTTTGTTAATATAGTCAGATATGTTTTAATGCTGAGTAACACATGATGTATACACAGCATTGCATTATCAATAGTACTCTTACCTGGATGGTGACCAGTGTATGTCGTATACAGAGGTTCATAGAGTGTCTATTGTATTATGGAATTTATAAAACAACTTTAATGATTTATGTCATCAACATTTAGGTGAAATATTAAAAAAAAAAAAAAAAAAAAAACAAGTTTATAAATTCCATACGACATTGACACAAGAGTGAGATTCTAAGTCATATTTCTGAAATATAAGTGAACTCTCACATAAATTTCTCTATAAGACAGATTTATTTTGAAGCAGGCAGTACATTTTTTCACTTCTATACCAATCATATGTCATCTTGACAGGACTTATCTATCATGTCACAATAGTGTTATTAGACATGTGTCTTACTCTAAGTATGACATGTCTGTATAACATGACATGTCAGGACAGTTATTTGATATAATTGTTATTCACATTCATGTTTCCAGTGAATTCCGAAGCATGTATAATAAAATGAGTACAGAGACTGTATTTCTGATCTAGATCTATCGTTCAGATCTTTATGTTTAAGTTCTGCACCTGTTATTTGGAAAGTGTGCACAATGTGACATGATTTTTCTATTTCAGACTGTCCAGCAAGCACTCAATGAGGACCATGTCTGGTGTATGGATGAATTGTTTCCTGTGTTCCAGTATGTAGTGGTTCGCTCAAAGATCCGACATTTGGGGGCAGAAGTTCACTTGATTGAGGATCTGATGGAAACTCACCTTGAAAATGGAGAACTAGGAATTATGTTCACAACTCTCCACGTAAGTCAAAATGGGATATAAAGATCTTGTGTAACTTTGATCATCATGATGTCATGATCTTGTGTAACCTTGATCATGATGTAAAGATCTTGTGTAACTTTGATCATTATGATGTCAAGATCTTGTGTAACCATGAACATGATGTAAAAATCTTGTGTAACCTTGATCATCATGAGGTAAAGATCTTGTGTAACCTTGATCGTCATGATGTAAAGATCTTGTGTAACCTTGATCATCATGAGGTGAAGATCTTGTGTAACCTTGATCATCATGAGGTAAAGATCTTCTGTGTCTTTGTCCTTTGTTTCTGGCTAGGATATTCTTGTTGCTCAGATTTATGTTAATTTAATTGTATTTGGTTTTCTTGAGGTTAATGTGAAGATATGCAACTTGTATCAAAAATATAAAATTCTTTTCATTTATGTATATCTATTACATTTCAGGCTTGTTACTATCAAATACAGAATGAGAAGCTACCAAGCCACTGAACAGCAACATCTTCCACCAAACGTGTGTCTATAGAAACACAAGTTTAACCTGGCCTCTCCTGTCACAGTTATATTATACCAGTATAATGAGTTATCATTGATGTTGAATTACACAACCTTACTGTAAAGAAAGTACCCACAAGATCACACCTTTCCATACTGGCTGTTGTAAACAGTAGACAATAACTGGAAAGATATTTAACTTAGCATAATGTATATTTATTGAACTTATTGTTACAAGTTCTTATTTTATAATTAAACGTACTTGGTGCAATCTTGAATCATGTTTCTTGCCACCTCAGCTGATGATACTGTAATTACTGTATTTTTCTTTCTATTTTTTTCATTTTGAGAATGGGATGGGGTTGGGGGAGGGGACTACTACAGAAACAAAAACACTTGTTTTCTTTTTTAATGAAAGCTTCACAAACTCTGGTTTTCTCTATTTGCTTTTTCTGCTTTACTTTCAAAGTACTGTGTATAGCTGTTTAATTTCATGGATTAATATTTTGCAGTTGTACCAATTTTGGGTAGCTAAGGAGGGGTTTAAATTTCATAAATGCCTAAACATAGCAGTCATGGATGTATTACATGCAGGTAACAGCCATTTGCTTAGATCTTGTTTCACTAGGAAATGTTTTGTTCTTGGCATTAATTTTTGTGCCATCTTTAATGGCTGTGAATATAACTAACTACCTGATGTGTTATTATTTTCATATTGTGTTATTTATTTACTTATATTTTCTTTTTATTTTTGTTCCTCCAGTTTAAAAAACACCCTCTACAGTAAAGGAAATATATTTACCACAGCTGGTACGAACTTTTCAACTTCCAAAAGATTACTACAGCCGAACGTGGTTATTTCGTAGTTGGCAGGACCGTTTGAAAACTTTGTGTTATCTGAGTATTCTGTTTAAGTGTGATCAAATGCTTGGTGAAAGGTTTGCCGGGACAAATAAATACTTCAAATTAAATGGGGTCTTTGGTTATAGGAGTTTGAGATAATGAAGTTTGACAGTATGTCAGTAAGACATTTGTTTTTATTGTCACTGTATGAATATACAGCTTCATCTGTCCAGGTAAAGTTTTGTAATTCTATCATCAATACATTAATGTTTTGATATAAAGGATACACAACACACAAAACGGTTGTGGAAGTTTAGAGATCTTCATATCAAGACATGATGTTAACAACATCTATTGAATACCACATACATCCAGGAAAAGTGCCACTATTAGATGTCAGAAGTGCTGGCTCTCTTATTTAATTACATGTTTGTTCTTACATCATTATCATTTGATAGTAAGCAAGTGCAGGCTTGTTAATGTAAGAAAGTTGAGGTTTATTTTATAAGCGTAGGCTTTTTTTGAGGTCAGCTTGTTTTCAGGTTTTAAGGATATTATCTTGAAACACGAAATATTTATTACTTATTGAAAAAATCAAGATGAATGATATTTTTCCATGACCTATTTATTGGCATTTGATATTTTTGAAGTATATTATGGCAGTATTTTCAATGTGTTCTGAAAATATCTTATAGCACAACTTGGTGCTAGCAGAATCTCCTTAAAAAGGTATACAAAGGCATTCTAGACACTGGGCTACTGGTAGAAACTGTTTGCTGAACTTCAAGAGTGTTTTCCAAAGTGTTGGAATTTTTTTTTTTTATTGCTTAGCTGTGATCAAGGAATTGTGTTCCAAAATTCCTAATAAATTATTTCATATCAGGCCTAATTTATCGTACGATCCACAATGGCATCTGACATTTTTGGCAAGACCCTGCTATATTTAGGTTGTGTTAAGGGATGGCACTATGGCGTCTATTTTAAGAGTAATAACCTCTGTGATATGGTCTACCTAGTGACCGGTAATACAAATTGATTATCACTGGAGACAGATATGATATAGTGAAGTGTAGGAGAAGTGAGGGTCTAGAACTCCAGCATTTGTTTGTGATTTGCGTGTGATATACATGGTTGATTTAATGACATATGACTTGTGATACCACCTTGTATTGTTGACTTCAGTATCACAAGAAGCCTTGAAATTTCAGGTTAAATAATGTAGGAATTCTGACCATATTACAGTAAAATAAGAGAAATGGCATTAAAATATGATCAATGCAATCACAACATTTTAAATGAGAGTTAACTATATGACTTCTGTTTGGTCTGTTTACATGGATTTTTGTATTATATTAATTCATTGTTCATGAGAGGACTATAACTTAAAATAGGGGTGGACTTTGTTTATGAAGTGATATTTGAATGCAAATATATCAATACATTTTCGTCAATGTGCTGTCGAAGATATAAAAAATTCTAAATATCCACCAACTGTTGTAATCATTTTAATGAATGTGTTCACTGCTGTCTGTTCTGTTTAAAATGGACATATTTTATTTTATATTGATTTAAACATTATTTGTTGTTATATGTTTGCTTTAGCATGCATAGTACCAATATGTGTTACAATATGATGCCTTCAAAATGCTTGCAACCAATTAATATGAAAATGATGTATGGGAATGCCTCTCATGAAAATCCATATTCAAATAAGGAGATTTGTCCATAGTAAAATTTATTTGTTTGTTTATTTTTCTTCCTTATATACTAAGAGGAAAAAGAACCATAACTTCAACAGTATGGTTTGATAAAATAATATTAATGAGCTATATGCCTAAATGTGAAATTCAATAATTATTGTTGAATATTGGACCATTCTACTTCACATTTTCTGATATATTAACAAATGAGGACATTAGATCGCCATGAATTTGGGTACTTGAATGTACACAAAGTTTAAATAATAGCAATTGGCCAGGAATGATCTCTGATAGTGTGTGTGCCCTCCCTAACAGCTGTAACATCTCTGCTTGGCAAAGAGTGCAGAAGGCCATTGATTGTCCATAGAGGAATGTAAGTGCAAGTTGATTGGCCAATTGGTAGAGGTTATATGCGCATTTCCACACTCTTTTGTCTAATTTTGTTCAATTTGGGACAAATCGGGGCTATATGGAGGCCAGTCAATAGAGACAATGTTGTTGGTTACAAGAATGTTCCAACAAACTCTTGCAATGTGTGGTCTAGTGTTATCATGCTGAAAGGTCAAATGTGTCTTATAATTAAAGGCACAACATGAGGTCTCAGGATCTCATATCAATAGCGTACAGCTGTTAAATTCATGTTAATGATCAGTAAAGATGTCTTTAAACCATTGGAAATTCCTCCCCAATCAATAACCGATCCACCCCAATATCTGTCATGCTCCAAAATACAAGTGTCTGCAAGACACTCTCCTCGTTGGTAAACATATTGATGGCCAGCTAATCAAAATAACGTTAAATGATATTCCTTCATGAAGGGCATTGACCACAGACGTATCATACGGAAACATCTGAGCACATGTGCTAACAACCTTCGCATATGACGTGCTCGGTGTCAAACCAACATACCGTCGACATGGGCATAAAATTGCCACTCGCAGTCTATATCTCGCAATTTTTTGATGGATTTGACAGTTTCCATTACCCACTGTCGTTCTGCTGCATTTAACCCCTGTCAGGCAAATGGCTAATTATACTGAACTGATTTTAACGTCGTGACGTTATGTGTGGACATCCATATATCGCTCTGTAGAGTGCTACTTACCATGATCGTTGTGAGAGCCCTTCCTATATAATATAGTCAATACCAAATATCTTTAAACTAAAGATATTGTGTTTCTTTATCCATTCAGGGTCTTTATAAACATATGTCATACATTTATGTCATAACCTTTATGATTACAAGAAACCTATCAATGTCTTCTGAATTTTGTGATTTGTTTATAAATGTGTACTATATTTAACATCCCATAAAATTCATAAAATCGTTCTTTTTTTTTTTCATAAAATTTCAAACGTTGAAATCACTACACAAAATAAAAAAGAATATGATAATACAAATATTATAAATAAATAAATTTTAATAGCATATATTCTATTGAATATTAAACTCACTGGTCTCTTTGAAAGGGCTTAAATTTATGTACAGGTGATCATGAAACTTCAATTTTTGATATTAAAATGAAATTTATGGATGTTGCATAAATTGTATGCTTAACCAAATAAATCATAATATTTTTCATTCTTGAGAAAAAGGTTTTTGACAGCAGTTTCTCATTTTAACAAATTAACTCGTTAATTAACAGGACAGTCTCTCCTAAATACTACAACGTTGATGTAGAATGGGTGGTATTTATGGTGCATGGTAAGACACGTATGTGATACAATCCAATGCTTGTAATGTTTGATGAAAGTTTCTTTGATAAGTTGTCCACAATATAAACATAATTAATATTTCTGTAAGACTGAATTATCTCCCATCACTATTTTGTAGTGTTAATTAATATTATATTATGCCTGTTTAATAAAAAAATATCTGTAATTTTTTTCTCATTCTTTTGTCTATGTGAGGTTATTGTTGCAAAGAGGTCACCGTGGACGACACACAAAAATTAAATCATGGATGGGCTTTCAGAGCCCTAAAGACTATTAGGATTGTACAAAACACACAAAAACCATTAGTATTTTTGCTGTTTAATATAGATTAGTAAAAGATACATTAAATATGGAACAGTATTTTACACTACATTATATAAGGAGGTAGATTAATGGGTATTTTTATGATTGTAGGAATTCTCCTGAATACTATAGACTTACACCTTTCCTTCAATTATATACAATACCAGAATTCTATCATACCAACATGTAATATATGTTAATCTCTATTAATCTATGGTTGGAATGTTTGATAAACGACTTGATAATCCTACAAAACGGTTGCATATATGAGACCATCCACCTAATTGGTTTTACATAGACTTCAGTGTTAATGCTCAGGGGTATATCATTAAAACTGTTGAATTCAATTTGACGGTTATGATCTATAACAAAAGTTAAGGGTCTCATGTAGCACTTCAAAAAAGAAGAAAAAAAGGGAGGTCCTTCAGCTCAAACATTTTCTTGTGGGAAATGGGGGTGGGGGTTGGGGAGGGGGTTTATTTTGAAACTGAATGAATTTGTAGTAAAAATACTCAAAATTCAAAATTGTTCACCCATTAATTCTATAAACTTGAATTTTTAACAGAAATCAAATCAGACTTACCACATTTATATTAACAATATCAATGAATGATATCTATCTGTTCTTGAATTCATAATTCACTGGCCAATCAGTGGTGACCAAACTTTTTTCTGGGGTTCAATCTGGGGCCATTTCAAATGTCCGTTTTTCAATTGATGGGTTATTCCCAATAAGTATGTTTCTTATAAAGATCAATTTCTTATTCAATACGTGTGTGTGCTGGTATTGATTCTTTTAACACAAAGATTTACACCAACGTGGACGGGGTATTTATCATTCCACGGCGCGTGAATCTCACGGAAAATATTCGTCAGTCAACGGTATAATTTGATTTGAAACCATTAAAGTACAGGTGCATACAGATGAAAAATTGCCATACGACATCCGGGCACTAAAAAGTATTTTCAAACTAGGATTTTATAGTATTAAGTGTTCATTTGAAGGCAAGTGTTTTAGTTTAAAACATATGTTGCCAATAGAAAGCCAAATAATTTGTCACAACTTGTGCTCGCTCGCTTGTGATACCTAGAGAGAGATATTCCAGCGTGTAATAGTGTTTACAAACACATTCACATTACTGTTTCACTTTAGATCTAGTATAACAACCAGAAATATACACTGAACAGCATTCCGTTGATTAGTCTGATCTAAATTTTACCACATGTTACGGCGGCGTTCTCCTTTTTATACATTCTTGGATATTACTATTTACAGTGAACGTGCGGTCGCGCGCACACACTTCACGCTCCTCAATCACGTGAGCAAACGGACACTCTTTTCACTGACGCACTTTACTAAATGGACTGCTGAGACATAAAAACGCGACTTAGTCAAAATAGTCAGTACTGAAAATGATGTTTTTGTGAGATATTTAGATCTGAATCCAACACATTGCGCAGGTGTTTTAGAATGAACGCCAACCGACTATGCAACGCTGTAAAAAGTAAGATATAAAAATAGTCTACCTTTTTACACCTACATCTGATACAATTATACATGTTTCAGAAACGTTTGCCCAGATATAGTATCACTGCTTTCAAAAGACCCTTTACAATAAGTCCATTTATTATCCACAATATACGAACGATCTATGTGTTGATGGACGATGACCCGTAACGGTATATTCAAAGCGACATTGGATATTTAGGTCAACCTTTTCGTTTTTCTGTCAAAATGTCGTTAACCTGCGAATTGTTTTAAAATGAGTCATGTCTGTGGTACGAGAGTATGATATTTTCGTCTATCTTTTTGTTACCTGAATATCAGAGTTAATCATTAAAATGGATCAGAAATAACTAACATTGCCGTTTCTAGGAAATTTACAAAAGACACACAACGAGCAAGACTTTTCAATATAGTTTTAGAATACGATACTGTTATCAAATTATATGACGAATTTAACTGCATCACACAGCTGTTTTGTGCTTCTAGGGTCACACGTCAGAGATACAAAGCTATGGGCCTAGATCGTTGAAATCTAGAAAATGACTGAGGAAAATAGCTGTTAAGAACCACATATGGAGAGGTCACAACCCCATATGATTGGATGATTAAAAAAGAATGACAAGTAAATGTGTAAATTCTCAATAATCCATTGAAATGAAAAGAAGCCGTGCTAATAATGGTATGACATTCGTATGATTCGTGTTCCATGGGAAGCTTGTCACGGCAGGGTCGTCAGTGAATCAGAATCAAGAATCCCAAAGACACCCAGAGTCGATTTTTGCACGCTGCTAGGCAACAACAGTTATATCGAAATACAAAATTGATATGGTGGTATGATATAATGTTTTGTTTCGAGGTAAGTCTTGTCTTTTGACACCATTCTTGAATCTTGGGTGTTGTGTTTATTTACACTTTGTTTTCTTTGTTTGTTAGTAATACTTAAGGGCTCAACATTGTTATTCGAGACGAACACATCTAGGTTTCCCAAACAATCTTTACGACAGATATACTGGATATAAATTTGGTATTGCCCTCTATGTATGAGAGGTGCGTGCATGTGTTCAGTGCGTGTGTTTGTGAGAGTCTGCTATATGTCCGTGGATGAATCATTATAAAAGGGCTGTTCTGACACCGTCTCTATAATTCTATCAGATTTAATCCCACCAGCACCCAGCGGGACTCTCTATCAAAACGATATACAAATACACTATTTATTGTTTGGCTGATCATGTATCATTTTGGTTTTGATATAATCATAAAACTAAGGATATATGAAAACGATTTTTAGTTCAACAAAATCACAGTCCAGCGGGGTTAACAACAAACAACACATTGTCATCGCGTCATGCTACATCATCCTAATATAAAATTTGATGTGATTTGACCATATTTGTACCGCAAGTAATGTTGAAGTGTTGGTTGGTTAAACAATAACAAGTCTCATTCACATATCTGATCTTTTGAAGTCGCAGGGCATGCTCCCCCCTATAGCATGATCATAAGATACGACTAAATATTCGGTATCTCCAGTTTCTCACTTTTTAAAAATATCTTTTTCACTATACTGAGACTGTATAAATGCACGTTACTGTAGTGTTTAGATGTAGAGTAATGGGAAATAACTCTGATTGTCTTATGTGTGGAGTTATCGTTCTTGTGAAACATCCGGGCATGATTATTAAAACAGGCGGCCATTGGAACGAGACCAGTTTTGTGTGTTATGATTCAATTCGGGCTCTGATTCAATTCGACACGACAATCTGGCGACGAGGATATTGCGAATACGTTAGTAAATGTATCAAGAACTGGTGTATGTAAGAAATACGAACTGTCATTTGTGAAAATGTCTTCGATCGACCTGAATGGTATTGAGCCGTTCAACGCACATGGTGACCCAGGTCATTTACAGCAGGAATGGAAGCGATGGCTTCGTAGTTTCGATTTATTTGCCACTGGCAAGGGTGTAACAGACAAGAAACAGTTGAAAGCGTTATTACTACACTGTGCAGGTGTACCAGTTCAAGACATCTATTTCACGCTAACAGAGGCGGAGGGAGGTGATGAGTATGCTGTAGCGGTAGCCACACTGAGTAAACATTTTGAAACAAAAATAAACGTGCCATACGAACGGTATGTATTTCGGTCAATGTGTCAGGAAGACGAGTCTATCGAACAATTCATCACCAGACTCAGAAGACAAGCAGTTCTTTGTGAATTTGGGAACATTGAGGAACAAATAAGGGATCAAATAATAGAAAAATGTAAATCTCATAAACTTAGAACCAAATGTCTGGAAAAGGGGAAGGAATTGACACTTGATCAATTACGCACAATCGCGGCTACAATGGAAATGGCAGATGTCCAGGCTAAGAAAATGGAGTCTCCTCTAAGCTCAGTCAATCAGATAAACTTTGTGAAACAAAAGGACACAAAACGGTCAACAAGTAGTAGCACAAAGGCTTTATGTTTTCGATGTGGACGTGAAGGTCATTTCGCGAAAGATTCAGGCTGTCCAGCGAAAAACAAAAAGTGCAATAAGTGTGGTAAGATGGGGCATTTTCGTGCATGCTGTAAAACAAAGGAACCACGTTGCCTAAAGGCAGAGAGGTCAACATTGTCAAAGGTCAAAGGTAAAGTGAACTGTGTAGAGTCAGAGGCAGAGTATGCATTTAGTGTACAACACACAGATGCAGACAGACTTTCGTTCATGGTTGGTGGTCACAAAGTTGATATGGTTGTGGATAGTGGAGCGACAGTCAATATCATTGACAAGCCTACATGGGAGGACTTAAAGAAAAGAAAGATTGTGTGTCGTTCAGAGAAAACTGACAAACGGCTGTATTCATATGGAGCAGATAAACCTTTATCGTTACTTGGCAAATTTATTACTACGGTGTCTGTTGACGGAAGTGATGATGAAATTGAGGCTGCCTTTTATGTACTTGATGGCACAGGTTCGGCTTTATTAGGGAGGGCTACGGCAGTAGATCTCGGAGTGCTGAAAATTGGAGTCTACTCAGTCCATGATGATATATTGGATAAGTACAAGTCATGTTTTGGAGGAATTGGGAAGCTGAATGACTTCAAATTGAAGCTTCATATTGATCCATCTGTAAAACCGGTGGCACAACCTATGTATAGGATTCCTTACAGTCTACGAGAGAAAGTCGGTGCTAAACTTGATGAACTTGAGGATCAGGACATTATCGAGAAGGTGAATGACCCAACCCCGTGGGTTAGCCCGGTAATAGTTGTCCCAAAACCTAATGGCGATATCAGGATATGTGTGGATATGAGACAGGCTAATCAAGCTATAGTCCGTGAGAGACACCCAATACCCACTGTGGACGAGATACTGTACAATATGAATGGGAGTACAGTGTTCAGCAAATTAGATATGAAGTATGGATATCACCAGATAGAATTAGAAGATTCATCAAGGGAGATAACTACATTTGTGACGCATCAAGGATTATACAGGTATAAGCGGCTGATGTTTGGTATCAGTTCAGCACCAGAGAAGTATCAACAAATCATATCACAGACATTTCATGATTGTGAAGGGGTTCAGAATATATCCGATGATATTGTGGTTCATGGCAGGGATAAACATGAACATGATCAAAGGCTAGAGAAAGCATTGTGTAGACTGCAGGAAAAGAACTTAACTCTGAACAAGGAGAAATGCGAGTGGGGAATGGACAAGATCACATTTATGGGTCATGTATTGTCAAAAAATGGAATCGCGCCGACATCCGATCGTTCAAAGGCCATTATTGAGGCTCAGAGGCCACAAAGTGCATCTGAGGTGAGAAGCTTTTTAGGCATTGTCAACTTTAGTGCTCGCTATATTCCAAACTTGGCTACATTGTCTGAACCCTTGTGACGACTTACCAAGTCCAGTGTAAAGTTTTTGTGGGGACAGGAACAGGAGGATTGTTTTCGAGCATTAAAGGAAAGCCTTGTGAACGCAGATACATTGGGACATTTCCGATTAGACGCAACAAAAACACAACTTGTGACTGACGCGAGTGATGTAGGTTTAGGGGCTGTACTCGTTCAGGAATCTGAAGGCGAGACCAAAGTTATCAGCTATGCTAGTCGTACACTGACTGATGTTGAAAGAAGGTACTCAACCACAGAAAAGGAGGCCTTAGCAGTGGTTTGGGCATGTGGAAAGTTCCACATATACCTGTATGGCATTGATTTTGAGCTGGTGACAGACCACAAACCATTGGAAATACTGTATGGTCCAAAATCCAAACCTAACGCGCGTATTGAACGGTGGGTTATGAGACTGATGCCCTACAATTTTCGTATTAGGTATCAACCTGGTAAACAGAACATTGCTGACGCATTGTCGCGACTTGTGAAAAGGAAACACAGTGGTGTAACAGATCTACAAACAGAAACAGAGCATTATGTCAGAGCTGTGGCAGAGAGAAGCACCCCAAAAGCAATGACAACTCGTGAGGTGGAGGAAAAATCCAAGTCTGATCCCGAGCTAACACTGGTGAGAAAGGCTTTATCTGCAGACCAGTGGGAAAAGGAATGTGTAAAGTATTATGCGGTAAAAGATGAACTGTCCCAGATAGGGTACCTGCTGTTACGTGGAACACGATTGGTTATTCCAGCAGTGTTACGAACAGAATGTATTAAATTAGCTCACCAGGGACACCTTGGTATTGTCGCTACAAAGCAACAGCTACGAACTAAAGTGTGGTGGCCAACTTTAGATAAGGACGTAGAGGCTTATGTCAAGTCATGTCATGGCTGTCAAGTGGTAAGTTCATTGCCACGGCCCGAGCCCATATCGCCGACCCCTATGCCATCAGGACCATGGCAGGATCTCTCGATAGACCTGCTAGGACCTTTACCGTCAGGACACTACGTGTTTGTTGTAATAGACTATTACAGCAGATATTATGAAGTGGACATTACAAAGGATATATCTAGTGAAAGGATGATTGATGCACTTGAGAACATGTTTGCACGTTATGGACTTCCGGTATCGATTACATCAGATAACGGTCCTCAGTTTGTGTCGGCCTTGTTCGAGGAATTTCTATGTGATAATGGAATTCATCACAGACGTGTTACTCCGCTCCACCCAGCAGCAAATGGAGAGGTGGAACGACAGAACAGATCTATCATGAAACGAATACGTATTGCTCATGCTGAATCACGTGACTGGAAGAAAGATTTGAGAACTTATCTTTTGGCATACAGGGGCACGCCCCATGCTGTAACAGGTGTTTCTCCAGCAGAGTTAATGTTTGGGCGTAAATTGAGGAATAAAGTACCTCAACTTGATGTTCATCGGAATGAAACCATCGAAGAAGGAGTTCGTGATAGAGACTGGTTTGCAAAAGTCAAAAACAAACTTTACATTGATGAAAAACGTGGTGCAAAAGAATCAGATCTAGTTGAAGGAGATCAGGTGTTAGTTAAACAGTCGAGGAACAATAAGCTAAGTTCTCCATTCAACCCAACTCCGTTTAAACTCCAAAGGAAAGTTGGAAATCAGTGTACTCTTGTTTCTCCTGAGGGAGTTGAGTATAAGCGTAACAGTACACATGTAAAAAAGTACGTTCAGAGTCCAGAGTCTCTGGTAGAGAGCAAATCTACAACTGCTACTTCTGAAAGTGAAAGTTTGACCATGTCTGACAACAATGTATCGAAGCAGGACAAAGCCGATGACGATGTCATGCATAGGTCTACTAATGATGGAATGGAATCAAACTTGTCACATCAGGTGGAGATCCCGCGATCAAGACCAGTGCGCGAGAAAACTAAGCCTAAGCGGTTTGATGATTTTGAAATGACATAACTTTGTGTGAAAGTGAAGTTTTGCATAGTTGGATTACAGTGACATTGTGATTCAAGTGTAGTTTAATTTTCAAGTCCTAAGTAAGGAATGTTTTACAGGAACTGAGTTTTAAATTTTAACAGTTAGTGTGTTACATGGACTTGAATACAGTGAAAATTTAGTATTCTCCATGAACTGTGTTAATTTGGAAATTTTGAGTTTAAATTTAAATTGATACAAGTTGTCTGATCATATCAAATAGAACTTTGAAGATTTTTGAAAGGCAATAATATTCATTGTAATAGTGACAGTCTTAAGAGGGGAGAAGATGTAGTGTTTAGATGTAGAGTAATGGGAAATAACTCTGATTGTCTTATGTGTGGAGTTATCGTTCTTGTGAAACATCCGGGCATTATTATTAAAACAGGCGGCCATTTGAACGAGACCAGTTTTGTGTGTTATGATTCAATTCGGGCTCTGATTCAATTCGACACGACAGTTACCATTTCCCAGGTACTTTGGAAGAGAACAGCTTGGCCATCTCCTGACACGGGAGTAAATGTGATCTAATATAGCTAAGGATTAGAGGTGTACAGTCCCTTGGTACCTAAAAGGTGGATAAAGTGGAGAGTCAAGAAGTTCTTACCGTTTTGTACTGATATGCCTAAACAAGCGAAAACCTGAATGGCCATGTAGTATAGCCGATTGCAAACAGGTAATTTCTTGTTCCTTTGATATTGGACCAAGAATAAGTGACCATTTTTATAATGATCGAAACAGAAGTCATGCTTAAACATAAGGATTACTTATCATTTTGTGCTAGAACTGTGTGTCAAACCGCAAATAAAGAAGATTTAATTTATTGTGTTACACGGTGTTGTCTCTATGAGTACTTATCTTTATATTCAGTAATAATTTGTAACTCTATATCAACACCAACACAGGCAGAGTTTTAATGTTTAATGAATACATACATAGAGGATACTACGCTAAAGTGTAAGTAAATGAATAAATAGAGTTTACCAGGTTTCCAATAATATGAAATCATGTGACATATAGACTTGTTGATGATGACAGGAAGATGATTTTTAATAGTTGTTGAAAGACATGTAATTGCTGCTCGTTAAGTCTTGGAGATAAAAGTCCGTTTTCCTGCGATCGATGTCGGCAAAATAAAAGTGCAAAGAGGAGCATTTTTTTTTCCACGGGTTATGTCCCTTGACTTATACTTCGTTCTTTGCTTAAATACTTTACCATTTGATACGTCTTTGAAAGTGAACGTACAGCAGGTGTGTAGTACATGTTGTACTGAAGACACAAGTCAATAGAGCCTTCCAATAAAAATATAGCGTTTTATACATTAGAGTCAAACGACGAATTCAAATACAACACACCGATGTTCATTTCAAGGAATTGACAGTGATGCTATTTGCCTTAGAGTATTCCGACCTAGGAGTTCAACATGATGAAAATAAACGTCTACGGAGGCTCAAATGAAAGTTCTGGGCTGAAACTTCTGCTTCTGACGAAAAAGTGGGTTTTTTTATTATTCATTTATATATTTTTTTTTTAATTTTTGCTATTTTTTCAATTTACATTGACAGTCCAACAGATGGAAATCAATTTTTGATAAATTCTGCTGCGATAATTGGAATAATATTGTTTTTAATGTACGAAAATAATTTTCAATCGATCTCATTCGTATTCACTGTTTTGTTATGATTTATCTAGAAGCGTTTCATTGGGATTATATTTGAATTACGATATGACCTCAGCTGTTGCAAAGACGCCGAACGTCGCAAACAAGACATGAAAAGGATAACGTGCGTACAAATCTTAATTTTGACGTAAAACAAAAGGAGTTCAATACTGTTTCATATTCTTCGTTTTTTGCACAGAACTGTTTACATGTTTTATATTTTAGTAACCATCTTAGTTATTCAATTTCCCTTAGCTATTGGTGTCTGGTGTTAATTTTTTAAACTCCTTAGAGGTTCAAGGTGCTACAAGCAAATGTAGCTATACATTCAAATTGCGAATGTGATATTCATTGAACAACAATAGTTGTAGGCCATTGCAAAATGCTTGCGTTTCCAAAACACTTGGTTTGCTTGTTATTTCAGTTAACCGAAACAACCATCTACACACCTGGATTACCAGTAAGTGATAAAAGAATCAGGTATGTATCATAATGACAAATATGTCATTACGATATCATAATGACAAATATCGAGTTACAAAGACTGATAGCACATGGCGACCATACGATATCATAATGACAAATATCGAGTTACAAAGACTGTAGAACGGATTACGATATCATAATGACAAATATCGAGTTACAAAGACTTTACAAATAATGACAAATATATCATAATGACAAATATCGAGTTACAAAGACTGTAGAACGGATTACGATATCATAATGACAAATATCGAGTTACAAAGACTTACGATATCATAATGACAAATATCGAGTTACAAAGACTGGATTACGATATCATAATGACAAATATCGAGTTACAAAGACTGCAGAACGGATAACGATATTATAATGACAAATATCGAGTTACAAAGACTGTAGAACGGATTACGATATCATAATGACAAATATCGAGTTACAAAGACTGTACCACGGATTACGATATTATAATGACAAATATCGAGTTACAAAGACTGCAGAACGGATAACGATATCATAATGACAAATATCGAGTTACAAAGACTGTAGCACGGATTACGATATCATAATGACAAATATCGAGTTACAAAGACTGGAGAACGGATAACGATATCATAATGACAAATATCGAGTTACAAAGACTGTAGCACGGATTACGATATCATGACAAATATCGAGTTGAAAAGACTAGAACAGATAACGATATCATAATGACAAATATCGAGTTACAAAGACTGTAGAACGGATTACGATATCATAATGACAAATATCGAGTTACAAAGACTGTAGAACGGATTACGATATCATAATGACAAATATCGAGTTACAAAGACTGGAGAACGGATTACGATATCATAATGACAAATATCGAGTTACAAAGACTGTAGCACGGATTACGATATCATAATGACAAATATCGAGTTACAAAGACTGGAGAACGGATTACGATATCATAATGACAAATATCGATATCATAATGACAAATATCGAGTTACAGAGACTGGACAAATATCGAGTTACAAAGACTGAGAACGGATTACGATATCGAGTTACAAAGACTGACAGAACATTACGATATCATAATGACAAATATCGAGTTACAAAGACTGGAGAACGGATTACGATATCATAATGACAAATATCGAGTTACAAAGACTGGAGAACGGATTACGATATCATAATGACAAATATCGAGTTACAAAGACTGGAGAACGGATTACGATATCATAATGACAAATATCGAGTTACAAAGACTGTAGCACGGATTACGATATCATATAATGACAAATATCGAGTTACAAAGACTGGAGAACGGATTACGGTATTGTAATGACAAATATCGAGTTACAAAGACTGCAGAACGGATTACGATATCATAATGACAAATATCGAGATACAAAGACATTAGCACGGATTACGATATCATAATGACAAATATCGAGTTACAAAGACTGTAGCACGGATTACGATATCATAATGACAAATATCGAGTTACAAAGACTGTAGCACGGATTACGATATTATAATGACAAATATCGAGTTACAAAGACTGGAGAACGGATTACGATATTATAATGACAAATATCGAGTTACAAAGACTGGAGAACGGATTACGATATCATAATGACAAATATCGAGTTACAAAGACTGTAGCACGGATTACGATATCATAATGACAAATATCGAGTTACAAAGACTGTAGCACGGATTACGATATCATAATGACAAATATCGAGTTACAAAGACTAGCACGGATTACGATATCATAATGACAAATATCGAGTTACAAAGACTGAAGAACGGATTACGGTATTGTAATGACAAATATCGAGTTACAAAGACTGTAGAACGGATTACGATATCATAATGACAAACATCGAGTTACAAAGACTGGAGAACGGATTACGATATCATAATGACAAATATCGAGTTACAAAGACTGGAGAACGGATTACGATATCATAATGACAAATATCGAGTTACAAAGACTGACAAATATCGAGAGAACGGATTACGATATCATAATGACAAATATCGAGTTACAAAGACTGTAGCACGGATTACGATATCATAATGACAAATATCGAGTTACAAAGACTGTAGCACGGATTACGATATCATAATGACAAATATCGAGTTACAAAGACTGTAGAACGGATTACGATATCATAATGACAAATATCGAGTTACAAAGACTGTAGCACGGATTACGATATCATAATGACAAATATCGAGCTACAAAGACTGTAGCACGGATTACGATATCATAATGACAAATATCGAGTTACAAAGACTGTAGCACGGATTACGATATCATAATGACAAATATCGAGTTACAAAGACTGTAGAACAGATAACGATATCATAATGACAAATATCGAGTTACAAAGACTGGAGAACGGATAACGATATCATAATGACAAATATCGAGTTACAAAGACTGTAGCACGGATTACGATATCATAATGACAAATATCGAGTTACAAAGACTGGAGAACGGATTACGATATCATAATGACAAATATCGAGTTACAAAGACTGTAGAACGGATAACGATATCATAATGACAAATATCGAGTTACAAAGACTGGAGAACGGATTACGATATCATAATGACAAATATCGAGTTACAAAGACTGCAGAACGGATTACGATATCATAATGACAAATATCGAGTTACAAAGACTGGAGAACGGATTACGATATCATAATGACAAATATCGAGTTACAAAGACTGTAGCACGGATTACGATATCATAATGACAAATATCGAGTTACAAAGACATCGAGTTAGTTACAAAGACTGGAGAACGGATTACGATATCATAATGACAAATAT